TTCCTGTAAATTACAAAAAGGCACCCCCTAGATACCTCTCTAGGAAAACGCCATAATATGCTGGTTTTGTCATAATCCACAATTTGTTGTGCTGTCAACATTGTGAATGTTCCTCTCCCCCGACCCCAGCACACAATCAGCTCAAGCCTAGAGGTGGCCCTGGCTGTTTTTGCTGTTCGTGATTCAGGCCATGGCTACCTCCCGGTCACTGTTGATTGTAATCATTCTGACTCTGAATTAAATCAACTGACACGTGTTAATCATGTGTAAGGCTCTGTGCTCTGCACTGAGAGGGAAGTATAAAAGGGATCAAGGCAGGGCCCCTTGAGAAACTCATAAATGAAGCTGGTGAAAAAAAAAGCATGCTGTGTATGTCCCTGGCTGCTGCTTTTGGATCAGCAACTTGATGTTAGTCTGCTTAACTTTACTGCAGATCGTTTTCCAATAGGGATTCTGCTGGTCTCCCACCAATCTCATACTAATTGTATGAGATATGAGGATTTGGGGAAAAATCCCAGCACCTTAGATGTTTGAAAAAATTGGGGCTTACATGAGTTTCTCCTACATAAACACAACTGCTTTGGAATCTGAATCCTGCTGGGAAAGTGTAACCTCTTGCCATGTAAGAGACTCAACTGTATCTTGAGCCCAGTTAAAGGATATATCACTTTTTCAAGTGTTTACTGAGCATTTTTTTCTAGTGATTTCCTGGTGAGCTGCTTTTATATTTCAGATGATAATGCACATGGGATGTGCCTTTCTCAGGGAAAATTACAAACTAAGAAGAGTTTTATGTAATCGGTCCTTTGTCATAAATGCAACCATCGTATTTTCCTTTAGGAGCACTGCAGCTCTGTTCTCATGATTAAAGTGTGCTAATAAAGTTGTCCCCATCCCGGCAAGACGAGCAAACTTAGAAAGATTCATCTGGGATCTTAGTCAAGGTTCTTGGTTGCAAGCAATTGAAACCAGTTCTAGTCATTTAAACCAAAAAAAGAATTTATTGACAGGATCTTGGTTTCTCATTGGACCTCTAGGAAAGCTGGAGAACCAGGTTTAGAAAAGGGGGGGAGGAAGGGAGAATCTATGTAGTGAGAACAAGAGCCACATCCCCCACCTAATGAGGCCCATGAAGATGCTGACATAGCCATTAGCTCTCATACTGCTGCTGCCCACACGGCCGTGGGGAGCCGTGCTGCAGTCACCCCCAGCCGCGCTTCTTGGAGCCCTTGTGTGTAGGCGTCTGATTGGCCATGCCTAGGTTAAGGGTTCTTGCTCTAGGGAGGCTAGGAAAATAATTCTGGCCTCTTCAGCTTCTACGATGACAGACAGACTATATCCTCCCACCAAACCCCAAACTTGAGGGAATTCAGAAACATAGGAAGACAGATTAAATGTTAGGCCATTGTGGGGAGGGTATAGCTCAGGAGTAGAGTGGGTGCTTAGCATGCATGAGGTCCCAGGTTCAATCCCCAATACAGTACCTCCATTAAAATCAGTCAGTCAGTCAGTCAGTCAATCAACCAACCAACCTAATTACTCCTTGCCAAAATATACGCTTAGCCATTAAAGACAGGTAACCATTCAATGCTCTCGTGAAATGACTAAGGAGAGTAACTGGAACACGCATGTGTTTTATCTTACTCAAGCGATAATCGTCCTCACTTTTGAAATCTTCATCTCTTCTTTTATCAAAAAATGAAAAAAAAAATCCAAATAGCATTTTGGCTGTGTTTCCCCAAGAAAAAATGTTTGGACATGAAAGCCTTTTTCCTTACTTCAGAAGCCAATACTTAAGTTATAGGGTTTCTTACTGGCATCCTATGTCTTTCATCATTTCATTCATCCTGATCAAGAACTGAAAGTGACTTCCTGTCATGCACCATCTGTGAGTCCCAGCCCCTCCCATCTCTTTGCAATAAGCGCCCAGTCCTCGTAGCCCACCCTGCCTCCAGAAGAATAGAAATGGTCAAGTAGCCTATCAGTGACTTCTGCCCCATTGAATTAATTTTCTGGTGCTGAGGAGCTGACACCTTCATGGCATGCAGCTTTCCTCTGCGTATCCCCAAGGGAGAGCTGACCACAGAAGTGACTCCAAGCTAACATGTGTGGACGTTAGCCTGTGGGCCAAGGAAGGTCAAAGTGATCTGAATGTTTCAGTTCTATAAATCACAGCCGTTCAATGGATTATTGCATTTTGAACAAGTATGGAATGAATGACATTAGTCCTAAAACAAAACTGTACTTGAATAGATACCAGTTTTCCCTGGGTTTTCTTTCACATCTGACCGTAGCATTATGGCATGTCGCACACATTTTGATTTGGCTTTGCGCTTTCATGACAATAGAAGGGGAAAACACCATAACTGTCCAAGTGCATCTATGCTCTACAGTAATGGCCTAAGGTAATAAATCATCCAGCAGTTGCATGGGAACCTACGTCTTCCCTTCCGCACTCTGAAATGGCTGAGCAGTTATGAAACCAAGTTACACAGCACTAATTAAGAAGTTAATATGGACATGGGTCATTGTATTATCCTGTATAATTCAGATTTGCTCTACTTCTGCCAGAGTGGCTTTTATTAGTGACTCTTTGGGTTGCTGGAATAGAGTGCAGCCCACCTGGGTTATTTTGATCCTCAAAGAGATCACACATCAGTTTCACCAAGAAGTCCAGAGCTTCTGTGAAAGAGCTTTGAGCTCTGTCAGCCTTTCAGGCAGGGGCCTCAGAAGCTTTTGTCACAGTCAGCCAAGATAAAGAACTGCATTATCCGTTGATCCCTGGCCTTTGTTTAACCAAGAGGACGTGGAGATTTTTGTTAGAATCATATAATTTCGTAAGTGCACAGGCCAAATTGAACTCCATTTTTAATATTCTAAGGCCAAGTGGAAATTAATTTTTCAGCCTTCTTCTCCAGCGGAAAATTCCTTCTTCTCTGACACTGACCGAATTCAATGATATTTTATGGCACCTGACATTGTAACATATAACATCGCAGAGAAATGAACAAGAGAACAACAAGGCACAGCTCAAGGATTAATCATAAGGCAAATACTTGTGTTACCGGCAAACACAAAATAACAATCACCTCTGTTCTTTGACACCCGAAAAAAAGATTTTTGACGAGAGACAGGAAAGAAGCATGATAAGCAAAATTTATTAGTGAAATTAAAAAAAATAGTGAAAGAACTGGGAGCGGGCCAACCCAAGAGAGGGAGAATGGCGCCGCTCTCTCCTTCCTCCTGTTTTTATACCCTGGTTTCATGGTTGATTAACTGATTGATTAACTGATTGATTCCCTGTGCTCTGGTTAATTGACAGCACAGGTTCCCTGTGCTCTGGTTAATTGACAGCGCAGGTTCCCTGTGTTCTGGATTGTTCCTTTCCCTGCCCAGTGCTCATTTCTATCTAAACTACCTAACACTTGTGTACCCACTACCCAGGTCAAGAAATGGAATATTTATGTGAAAACCTGTATGCAGATATTTGTAGTGACTCTTTTCATAATCACCATAACCTGGAAACAACACAAGTGTCCTTCAATGAGTGAGTGTATAAACCAACTGTGGCACAGCCACGTAATAGTATACTAGTCAGCAATAAGACAGAACTAACCACGGACGCAGGCAACAACATGGATGATTTTCAAAGGCTTTTTTGGGAAGTGAAAGAAGCCAGTCTCAAAAGGTTACTTACCGTCGGATTCCACTTATGGGATATTCTTGGAAAGACAATGCAAGATGGAGAACAGATCAGCCACCGGCAGAGGTGGGGTGGGCGTGACTATAAAAGGCTAGTACAAGGGCGGCTTTTTGGGTGACAGAACCCCCAAATCCTGGTAGTGGTGGTGGTTACAAGGATCTAAATATAGGTTAACATTCGTAGAACTATATACCGAAAGAAAAAAAGTCAATTTTACTGCAAGATAATTTTTAAAAATTCAGTTAAAAAAAAAAGAAATGGAACATGGCCAGTGCCTCAGAAGTCTTCCTGGTTCTCCCTCCCAATGACTACCCCTCCTTTCCCCAAAGAAGTAACCATGTATTCATGGGCATGGAGTAGTAAATATCACCAGCTTTGGGTTATCAATATGCTTAAATCAGTCTGATTGCTGTCAGGTGTCCAGCAGTATTTTAAGTCAAAGGACCACTCAGCAAGTCGTGAGAGTTGAATGACCAACACAGTGCTAACTTGCTCGCCTTCCTGACCCCAAATGATTTCACTTAATTTGGTGAAAATAAAAGTAGAACCTCAAGAAAATGTACTGAATCAATCAATACAAATTCAACTGAAGGTACAAGAGATCTATTTCACATCACCTGCAAATCACTATCAGTTTCATTACCACTTTAACCTAAGATCATCAAAGAGAGAAATTTGAGACTATCTGAAAATGTGCTATGATGGCATTACAGCCCATGAAATGTGGGCAAGGTTTTTTTGAAGCATATTCTTTGCAAGTTTTATTTTTGACCACTTGCATTACTATATGTATCTATAGCAGAATGTTTCCTCTCTTCCCAAATAAAAACTATTTAAGGAACTCTGTAAGACAGGAAAATTGAACAAATTACCACAACTTAGAATTAAAACCTAGGCAGCTGAAAAAAGGAAGTTATAAAATTAATAATAATCTGATTAACATTTTAAAATTTATTTTATATTGACAGAATATCTTCTTTACCTTTCGTTGCTTTTAGTTTCAAGCTTCAAGCTTCTAAGTTGATAAATGTAGTCATTTTTCTTTCACCACAAAGAATGGTATTTGGTTATTCATAAAATTATGTTCCCATGTGTGGCAAGGTAAGCTTATTTTTATGTACTAGTATGGAGGACTAACACCTGCTGTTTTCGCCTCATATCTCTGTGCTCTCTCTTGCTGGACAACATCCCCTCCCTTGGAGGAACTGCCTCTCCTCTGCTGCATGAGTTCTGGGTACCACTGCCAACAGTACCCTTCATTGGCCGTAGTGATTGGCTCAGAGAGGGTCACATGACTATGCCGAGCCAATCAGAGGCTTCCCTGGGGATCGGGTTGCTCTTTTTTCCTCTGGCATCAGTAGGCTTTAATATACACTGGAAATGTTGGCGACCATGGCTTCCACCCACCATTTTCTCCATTACATGGAGGAAGCCTGATCACAGGAGGAGAGTTAGACATGGAGAGACAAAGAGAACCATAGACTGTGGTTGCTGTGGCCAGAAATCATTTGAAGATCCAAGTTCCCATCCTGCTTGACAATCCCCTCCTGCACCCTCCTCGACAGCAGCGTAAGGCAACAGTTATCTATACCCTGTACCGAGCTGTAAACAGTGATAGTCACAGCAATAACAGAGCATGCTCACTGAGCTTGTGTGATGTGTTAAGCTATGCTAAGCCCTTTACTCTCAGTATCATGTTTTGTTCTTACAACCATTTCAGAATTTTTATAGGTTCAATTACTATCCCCAGTTTATAGTTGGGGAAACAGGCACAGAGAAGTTAAGAAATGTGTCCAAGTTTGCAAAGCTACTAAGAGGTAAAGCTGGCATTCAAAGTGAGGAAGTTGCACCCCAGAGCCTCAGTCAGGTTTCTAAGATTTCAATACAAGAGATGTGGACATAGGAATTCATGCCTCCTCCTCGAAGCCCTCCTGCATTACACAGGCTTCATTGAATTCCCTCTTGTCTCAGCTTTATTTACCCTTATGATCACTTCACCAAGCAGTTAACATAAGAGGCAATACAGAGTGTGATTGAGCCTGGGTCCAAATTCTAGCTTGGCCACTACTAGCAGTGTGACCTCAGCCTCAGTTTCCTCATTTGTAAAATGGGGATAAAAACAGTACCTAGCTCCTGACACTGTTGCAAGTATTAACATATTAATATATGTAGGGCATTTAGGGCAGAATCTGTCATGTGAAAAGTTACTATAAAAGTGTTAGCGAATATCATCCTGATGTTCTCCAAATGTTTTTGGGATTCATTTTGCCTCTCCAGGTAGAGTTTAAGGTCTTTGAACCCTGGGTGCTTTGTCCCCCTTGCATCTTCTGAAGAGGTGATGAAAACATCACACAGTGTGAGGGGACCACATGGTAGGCACTTGTGATTAAATGCTTGTGGGTGAAGCCCGCCATGTTTTGACTCAGTGCCATCTCTCACAAACATTATTAAAGATGCATAAGGCAAAAACGCTCATCTGGAATTTTACATTTTATGCCCTACATTCATATCATCTGTGATGGTGGAAACCTGAGATTAAATGCTTCTGCCCTAGAAAACCAGAAATGTAGACCTGAAAATCAGGCACACGTGCTGGGAAATTTCCCACTCCTGGCTCAGCATTTGGAAACGTGACCTTTTTCCCAGCAACCACTCCAACAAGAGGCGGCTTGGGGAGGAATAGGGAAGGGAGGGGACTGGAGAGGAAATATGAGCTCTGAGAAAACAACGATCTCTTTTAAAATACCACCAGCAGAATGAAGCGTGTCATGTCCAGCTGACATTCCCATTTTATTGAAGAGATGCAAACAAATGATTGGGTAAGGGCTTCAGCATTTATTGAATCGGTGTTAATAGCCCCTGGGGCTTGGTGAAATCCCAAAGATCACCAGGCTTACACTACTGGAGTCATCTTTGAGACGGACAACTTCATCATTTGTCAGTTGGTGACATCCATTAGCAGGTAATTTACCTCTGCAAATTATGTGCATGAGCTCACAGTGCCAATTTCAAATTTGAAAAGAGAGAGAGCAAAGCATTGAAGGTGGGTTCAGAACTTGTATCTGCCACTTGTCCCTGTGTGACAATCCAGCATCTTCTATGTAAAACAGACATAAATCACACCTACTTTGCTGGATTGTGGTGAGAATTTGAGATAATATATGGAAAGTACCTAAACTGTGCTTTGAAAATACTGGGTTCTCAAAAAGTAACTTTCTTGAAAGATAAGATGCCAAAAGGCAGTAGACAAAACAGCTAGGTTGAATGTTGCCAGATTTGCATTCAACAATTATTTCCTAGCCAAGCAGATTTGGGTCAGGCAACATATAATTTAAGAATTCAGATACATATTTAAGAAATGGAGTCCCCTCAAAATGTATATAAAATTTGAATGGATGTTCCCCTGGCTTCATTATTGGTAACTTTTTCTGTCCATGTTTGTATTTGAATGGGTACCTTCTAAATATGGGGCTTTTGAATGTAAGAGAAAGGTTTAAAACAGGGAGAAAATGTGTGCCAATACCTAATTACCATGTCCATGGCAGACATTATTAATCAATTATTGCTTTTTTTCCCTTGTTGTTGAACCTGGATGTGGTTTCTCTGTCCTTCTCAACATATTGCTCCACAGTCTTCATTAACTGATCATATTTGGTATTGAGATAAATCCTATTGTCATCCTGGCTTAAATGTGGATAATTGTAGAAATCATAGAAGCCTGTGGGGTGAATAATTTAGGCAGGTGGGCCCTATGAGCCCTTCAGGTCCTATCACAATGGGCTGTCTATAAGGTCCAACTAAAATGGACAGACACAAAGACCACCCACATTTGTGACTCTTGGCAATTTTGCTGCTCATAATGTTTTTTATGTGGAGCTATTGGCATGGATTTGAGTCAACACAACCTATTTCCTTTGAGAAATTGCTGTATGTAATACACGATGTTATCACCAGTGCGACAGTGCAGAAAGCACAGAGGCAGTCTGTGGAGGGATCTGGGTCTGGAGATGCCAAGTGAATACTGGTCCCTTTCTGTCATCCAGAGGAGGAGGAAGGATGGAACATACACACGAGGGACCACTGCACTTCTGAGGCCCTCCATGGAGTTCTTGCCTGCAGTGAGCACATGAGGCTTTCCTCCAAGCCGGAACTGCTGGTGTGGAGGTGGCCTTGAGGTAGACTCTGGTGCTGACTTATAAGCCAAAATATTTGTCATGATCTGAAATGTAAGTGTTTGGGCTGGAAAAAAAGTTAGGTCCAGCAGATCATACCATCCCCTGGGCAGGTCCGTGAACATAAATGACTAGTACTCTAGCTCTACTGGTGATGGGGGCCCGAGCCAGCAGGGAAACGGGCAGGTCATTACGACCATGGATTTGCAGACTGTGCTCCTAGAAGTCCGAGGTAAACCAGGAGGACCTGGAAAGCAGCTCAGGGAGTGAGTAGAAGGCTGAGGGGCAGGGCGTTGAAACTCTGTCCAGATCCCATATTTCTCACCACCTCCACTGCAACCACCCTGACCTGAGCCACCTGGATGTCTGCCCTGGATCATTCTCTTCGCTTTCATCCTCATCGTCATCTAGTTTATTCTCAACGCAGCAGCCTCAGGGAGCCTATTAAAACAGAAGTCACATTAGGCAATTCCTTGGCTCCAAACCCTGCAGCAGCTCCCCATTTCACTCAGCGTAAACACACATTCCTGGCCAGACTCTTGAAGGTCTTGCACCGTCTAGCCCCTCCACGGCGTCTCCAACCTCCTCTCCTGCTGCTCTCCTCCTCGCTCGCTGCGCCCCTGCCATCCCGGCGTCTTTGCTGTCCCTCCACGGTGCAGCTATGTTTCCACGCAGGGCCCTTGCTCAGGCTGCCCTCTGCCTGAGAGCCCTTCTCCCAAGCCCATTTACGTAGTGGTTTTCTCACACCCTTCTCCAATCTTTGTTCAAACCTCACTTTCTCCATGAGACCTTCCCTGATTTCCTTCTCTATTGGCATTTCCCCCACATCCGCTGGGCCCTCTGGATTCCCCTTCCTCTGATTTACTTTTCTTCTTCCTGTGATATTGATTGATATTGATCACCTTCTAAGGTACCATTGATTTGCCATGATTTGCTCACACACCATGCATACTTAACTATATGCTGATTTCCTCTGTTTATTGGTTGCCCCCTTGCAAAAAAGGATGTTTCACAAGGACAGGGGTATTTATCTGTTTTGCTCACTGCTGTTACCCAGGCAGTTAGAACGCTGCCTACCAAATATTAGGATTTCAGACAATAGTTGCTGAATTAGTGTGAGGACGAATGAATGGCTTTCTGGGTCTGGCGCCTCTTCATCAGCCAAAGCAAACGCATCTTTATAATTAGCGTTGACGTTAGGTGTCCACATACGGTTCCATTCGAAGCAAAGATTCAGCAGCTACAAACTCCATTTAGACACCGCCACTCTGGTGCGGTGCCCCACTTACATGGAGTAGGGAGCCTGCGCCCAGAGAATCACACATCCGGTTAAAACAGAACCGGAAGAGAGACCGTCTCTCCTGATTCATAATCTCAGCCTTTCTTCCGTGTATTTCACTCTCATCATTCCCACCTAAATGCCTTCCCTACTTCTGCCTTAAATCTTTACACCTGCTTCTAAGGAAGAAGCAGTTCACAATGAGTCCAATCAAGAGTTTCACTGCTAAGAAGTAGTAAGAGGAGCTGCTCTCTGAAAAGCCCCCCGCCCTCTTTTTTAAGCTCTGACTACCGTAAGTGACAGGTTGGTAAGTATGTGATAAGCTGGGTTTTCTGTTTCCAGCTCAGCCACCTCAGGTGTGATGGGGCTTATTGACGCTGTTATTCCTAGCAATTAGCTTATATATGTGTTTTAATTCTGGCAACACCCAGTTCCTAGAAATTTCGCAAGCATTTCTCACACACACAAAGGTTAATGAAGTGATAACCATCACCATCTGTTCTGTATTTTCCTCTCCATGATTTTTTAGAGTTTTTTTTCCCCTTCTCTTCTTTATGGTGCATTTAGGGAAAACAGTTGGCTAATCAGCCAGCCAGAGTCATAGACACACTTCCTGGGCTTTGTCCTGTTTCTACCTTTAAATAAAAAGGAAAAAAGAGGGGGAAAATCCACATAGTGGGTCATACTCGGTGCTCAGCAAACACCCATGACCATCTTTCTTAAGGCTGAGCTTACTCGGGTATTTGAAAAGTAGAGCATGTCCACAATGCTGTTGATATTACAATTTAATATTGTTGGGTCTGCCTGGGGTGGCAGCTTAATTCATGATTGTGAATTATCTGACCATTTCCGTTCAAACTGGTAGTTTTCAAACTCACTTCCTTCTCTAATGAGGTCCACAAAGTTTATCTCAAATCCATTAAAGTACATACCCCGTCTCACGACTTGCCATAGTCTATACCAGTCATATAAATGGAGAGAGTCTGTAATTGTACAAAATCTTCCTGGTTAAATGTGGCAGGTTAAATATGGAAAAATACATCAAACACATTCATAATGGAAATTAGATTTAAAAAGCGTAAATCTAAAAACATACTTGCATGAAATTCATTTATTCTCCAAATTATTTCAGACTGGGTTTGATGCATCTGAGCAAATTGTTCTTCCTGGTTTTTTCTCCAGGCACTTAAAAGGGCACTTATGAAACAGTAATTAAAGACAGTGGGGTTTTTATTTTTTATTTATTTTTTGATAATTAATCCTGCTGTACCAGCTTTATTGATTTTTTAAAAATAGGATTATGATCATGGTTCTCCAATGTATCAGGATTTCAATAGAATAGTTCAAAAGACTTTTATGATGTTTTTTTCCTCTTTTTAAACACCTTTATTGTGGTATGGTTCCTGTACAGTACACATATTTCAGATGTGCAATTTGATGAATTCTGATAGATGTATACACCCATGAAACCACCACCACAATCAAGACAGTTAACATTTCCATCACTCCCCAAGAGGTACAATTTTCAAATTCTTTCAAATTTCAGATTTATCCCTTCCCACCCCCTTTACCCACTGGTAACCATAAGTTTGTTCTCTATGAAAGACAGTGGGGGTTTTTTAATCCAAACACAAATAGCATTTTTGCTCTTTAGGGGTTCTTGTAAACTAGCCACTGACTTGGGAAAGAGGAGGTTGGAGAGCAAGGGGACCCTTGCTCAGAAGCAGCCCAAACCAACAAATTCGTTGAGAAAGAGTCCTTAATAGCCAATCATATACAACACTAGCTTTACTTATCATAGCAACCAAGCCATCCTCAGTCTTTTTCACTTGCTATGATACCTCTGGAAACATTGTGCCTTCTACAGACAAGTTTAGTTCTTCAGTTCCAAACCTATTAAATTTAGAGTTTTTCTCTCCTTCCCCTCACAGTACTTCTTTCCCCCATTTCACTTAGTGAAAGAAAATATAACGAACTGGGAAAGGCAATTTATTAAGGTGTGTTAGGAGACATAACACTGCTCATAGCCTTTGATCCTGAAGTCTCATCACTTAGAATTTATGCAAGAAAAAAATCAAGAGAAGAAAATAAATTGGGAAGAGTGTAAAATGTTCAAAAATAGGGACATAGTTATATTGATTATTATGTATCTATTTCAAGGGTTATAATACTAAAGACCAATAGCAACATGAACAACTCAAATTATAATCACAGACAAAAAATAGAAAAAATTGATATGTGTATATACACTATTCTTGAAGCTATGTAAATATTGGTATACTGATAAGCAAAGACTGGAAAGTAGTGAATGAAGACAAAAATAATTTAGATCAGAGTGGCAGGAGAATAGTTGTGTTTTGATGGTGATCATTTTTCAAAATGTTTTTGAATAATGCAAAAAATGAATAGTTCACAAGTGTGGTTAGTATTATGGCAGATGGAGGCAGAAGGGGCTGTAATCTGGGAGTCAGGCTATGTTGCTAACTGGTATATGACCCTGCAAAATCCTTTCACTGGTGGGTCTCACTTTTTTCCTCTGTAAAATGAAGAAGGACACTGAGCAACTTTTTTCTAAGTTGACTGGTAGTTTTAAATTCTATTATCTTCAGGGACTTACTTTCTTCTTTATTAAATTGACATTTGAAAGTATTTTAAAATATCAAGGGTGGTAAACACTTGTCAGATTTCGGGGCCTTGGTCCAACAAAGAAACTCTCGGGCCTCCATCTCAAGCTTAGAGAAATGAGTTACATAAAATAAAAAGTAATCTATCTGCTTTGACTCAAAACCAGTCATTTTTTCTTAAGCTTAAAGCTTTGATGTATCTATTTTTCAGAAAAGCATATACTTCGGACCTACTGCTGATTACACAGTTAGTCATGCAGTAAAATATCTTCAAAAGATGGAGAAACAGTGTTGTCCAAGGGCAATGTGATATTATAAGTGAATAAAACATGACCGCAGACACAGGGTGAGCTGCTCTCTTCTCATTTTTGCAAGGCACGGTGATATCCATAGTTTAGTTTTACGTGGCAGGATGTCAACAAGTCAAAGTTCCCAGCAGGTGGCCACGTGATGCTCCCCGGGTCTGTTGGGGACCTAAGAAGCCGTGTTTCCAGAACATCATTTACTTATCTTGGATCCAAAACTTAGTTCCTTTTCTAAGGCTGCCCTTCCCGTTTTTCTCTTTAAACCAAAACCCAGCCCACTTCTTGGGTCCCCAAAGCCTGGCAGAGGCTGTGTGGTCATATGCACATCGTTCCAAATCAGCTTCTCCCCCTTTACCAGCTGTATGACTGTGCGTTTTCTCTGAGCATCAGAATCTATCTGTAAATCATTCCTCACACAGCAGTGGCACAAGGAGATCTAATGCTAGTGTCTGTAGTATAATGTCTGGAACATGAGTGCTAAATAAATGTCAGAGCTTTTCTCATTTCTCAGTTCCTTCTGTTAAGCATCCTTGTCCGTAGCACTATGGTTTATAACACTTGCTTTGGTCCTTTGTATTGTTCCTCAAATGAGTCATATAACTTATCTACTAACTCCCTTAGACGTAAGGTCCCAGCTACAGGATGAGCACCCACTGAACATGTTAGAAGCTTGGGGGAAAGTCCACAAACATCATCCAATGTGAAGAAGCCCAAAATAGAACTAGTGTTTACTGAGCGGCTCTACACACCAGCCCTTGTATGGAGGAGGACATTGAATTCATTATCTCCTTTAATCCTTACACAAATCCCATGAGGTAGGTCATATCACTACATTGCTACTAACGAAGAAATGACATTTAGAAAGGTCACATGGCCAAGAGGCTAACTGTCGTGGCCAAGAGACACAGATAGTAAACAACAGTTGAGATCTGGAACCCACATCCCTCTGATTTTGCATAGAAATTTGTCTTTTAAAAAGTGAATTTACTATCAGCCACTGACACTTGTAAAGTCGCTACAGAGTACCCAGGCCCAGATTTGTGCGTGGAGTGGCACCTTGGAATAATGACTGTCAGAAACAGGTTCTGCAGCAGTGTTCTGGTTCTGATGTCACCAGACAGCTCATATTTCTCCTCACCTTGCTGCAGAGCAATACAGACAGGAAAGAGGAGATTGTCAAATCCTCGACAAAGGTGACCTCTATTAACCCACCTGGAAGAAAAGCAAGAGTGTCTCTAAGCTCCGTCCTATTCAGACTTTTCTCTAGTGATATAATTATTTCCTTTAACTGACTCTCACAAAATGTGATCTTGATCTATGATAGATCTCCTTTATCTGTACTGATTTTAAATGACTAATGGCTTTGGGAAAGAAACTCAGTGACTCTTATTAAACTCTAAAGCTACTGAATTGGGGCTGAATATTTAAAAATTCTGATGTTCTAGGAGTTTTTAATGAACCCAAATATTTTACAGACATCTTACTTCAAGAAAAAATAGTTATATTACTTTGAAATTCTGTCCTAAGTGGGGCATTTGCCTAAATGTTATTGGTAACTATAGTTTGTTTTCTATGTCTGAGTCTGTTTTCTGTTTTGTAAATAAGTTCATTTGCACTTACATATTTTTATTGCTTTAATATCACAGGGATCACATAGCACGCACTGTTTGCTCTGTCTTCCAAATATCTTTGACCAAAACAGTATTTTTACCTAGGTCTTGGGAATGGATCTGGGGAAAATGTTTGTGAATTGTTGAAGTGTGGGTAAAAGAAAATTAGATTCTAAAGAAATAATATTCTAGGCACGTTTTAGTCATATTAAAGCTAATATTTTAGGTGTAGAATGCATTATCTTTGTGAGACTTAGTGACAGAACAGTTGATTTGATTTTAAAATTCTACTTAACACTATTTAAACTGGAATATTTCCTGTCCATTGTGTTGGGGTTTTCTTTGTGTATGTTCAGATATTTAAACCACAAAGAGGCAAGACTATGTCATGTCATTTGTGGAAAAGATATGCATACCTAAAGCCCAATGGGAAATGTGAGAAGTTCTTACAGCAGTTTTCTGCAACCAACATGTCCTTGCCACACACACCTAGCTTCATTAGTACTGGGAAAAGTTTTTCTTTTTTTACAATTTAAAATATTTTAGTACCTCCTATGCTCAGATAGCTGTATTTAGCTATTTCTCAATGTGATTCTTCCTATAATCTGATATTAGCACACACGTTCAAGGTCACTGGGTTCTGGCATTAGTTGGTCTTCAGTTGAGTTAGTCTAATAGGAAGCAGACAGACCCACTAACAAAACACATGAGGCATCCACTAGAGGGCAGCAAAATGCAAATCAAATTTAAAGTTGCTCCCAGAAATCCTGATGTTACCACAAAAATTTGTACTGCAAACAAGATTTCTTAAATGCAAAAAATTTAAATTAGTTCAGTGACGTAAAGTAATTTATGCACAAGTATTTCTCCTTTCTTAGAAGTAGTGGTCCAAGAGCAAAATAAAAACTAGAATTGTTTCTAGCCTCAGCTCTTTTACTAATTGGGTTATTTGGGGCAATTTATGATTTACCTCTCTAGTCCTCTTCTGTGATACATGGATTTGCACAAAATGACTCTTACTGTTCTTTTCACGAAGAAAAGAAATTCCATGGTTTTATGATTTATGATTCTAAAGTCATTTAAAATCTTGTTGACTAGACTGTTACATTATTCAATCAACTGTAACTTGTCATTAATGGAGGTTGTTTGGAAATACCCACCATTATTTCATGGAAAACTTAGGTCCCTCATTTACCTTCTTAAGAAAATGACACTTCTGCCCCCGAACAGTTACCTGTATATAATCTAGTGACGATAGCGGTTGCAATATTTTCTGGAATAAATTTTACAATTTAAGCCATCAATGAAAGCTGTTTTTATTAAAAACAGCAACAAAAAAACCCCACAACAATTTTGTATATACCCAAGCTGTTTTCACTTCCTATTTATTTTCTTTTAAAGTACTACATATGTGAACTCAAAATTAGTTACTAAAATTCTAAAATTGTTAAGAAGGTTCTTTATTTAAAAAAAATTGTTGGCTTATAGGCCAAGGAAATGGTGACTGGGAGTAGATAAAAGAGCGTGTTAAAGATCTGAACTACTGTGATGTCATCATTCATTTGGTCAACCACCTTGCCCTTCGAGATGGGGTTGATTTTGCCAGTCAACTAATTCACAGTTATTTTTCACATTTGTTCAGTGAATGTCATTGTAAATATCTTCATTTTCAGTTTATGCTTCATCTGTGATTAAAAGTGAAACTCTTTTCTAAACAGCATTTTTCTTGAGCACCAATGGGTAAAACTGTCAACAGTTTAGTGAGAGCAGAAACCATTTCTGAATCCAGACCGCTAAGGAAGTCATACTTAACAACTCACAGCATGTTTACATATTTTCAACGCTCATTTAGGGCACATTTTCCTCCTATGTGCGTAAGAAAGGAAGAAATATGTGTGGTTGGCAATGAATGTGAGGGATGAAGGAACATCATCCTTCAAAATGTAGTAAACCTATTATTACTATCAGAAGCCAGAAGAGGTAGAGCAAAGTTACAGGTACGCTCCTGACTCTCTTCCCCGGCACATGAGTTCACCTGGTGCCAGTACCGCTGGTATCCCTTTTTCTATGATTCTGAGGTCTTTAGCTTCTCCCTCAGTCATAGACCCAGCTCATCTCAATGCCTGAAGTCATTAGCATGAGATGGTCAATCACTCGTTTTAACCTATTTGCTTTTCTACTAGAGGGTGAGGAATGTGAGGCGACCTCAACCTCAGAGTTAACAATTTCAGATATAAGAGGCAGTTTCACAACACTAGTGAGATGAGCGCTACAGACACTGTGATAATACTTACAGAGTGATGAGTGAAATACTGATTACCTAGGTGCAAATCTTGACTATGCTCCTTAATCTGTGCCTCAGTATCCTTATCTGTAAAATAGGGTTAGCCGTACCTATTTTTCGAGTTGTTTCGAGTTGATACTTGTAAAATTATTATAATTATTATTTAAGCTTAAAATACTAAAATGGTTTCACATCTTCCTATGCTTCCCCAACAAGATGTAGCCAAGAGTATCGGATTTGAGCTCCTACTAGTAATTCACTGTTGACCTTGAGCAGGTCTCATTTTCTTGTCCAGGGTCTAAAACAATGCTTGGAAAGTAATAAATGTTCCAAGATGGTCCCAATGCATGTTGCGGGATGAACAAACTTCAAAATGAGGATATTGTAGCAAACAGATCGCCAACACACCCTCTAGTTTTAATACTTCATGTGATTCATTATCTCCTAATAGGGCCATGGGGAATATAGGAAAACCCCACTGCAGAACAACACACCATTTGCTGAAAAAGAATTTCGACGGTATCTACACAAATTATAACATCTTTTACTGTGGCAATTAATCCAGTATCATCTCTGCCAGTACTAGACTGAAATGAAACCCAAACATAAGAAGAAATAGACGTTTA